GCAAAGGAAGCATGGGACAGTATGGGGATGAGGGCAGAGAGCTTGGTGAGCCTGAATGGAAATGTGCTCCAAGGAGACTGCCCTGTGCTTGCAGGCAGAGCACCTGAGAATGCACGAAAAAATCAGAAAATAAAAGAGAACTTCCAGTTACTTTATGAAACAAGCACTTCCTTGATACCAAAACCAGACAAACACATTAAAACAAAGAACAACTCTTTAGACTGATATCCCTCATGAACAGTAATGCAAAAATCCTTAACAAAATATAAGCGATTCAAATGCAAGAATACATAAAAAGGATAGTATATTATGACTAAGTGGGATTGATTCTAGGAATGCAAGGTTGATTTAACACAAAAAAATCAATGTAATTCACCATATAAACAAAGAAAAAGCTGATTGTCTCAATAGGTAAATAACACATGACAAAATTCAGTACCTATTTATGATAAAAATTCTCAGAAAACTAGGAATACAAACATTCTTAACCTGTTAAAAGACATCTATGAAAAAGCTACCACCAACAGCATACTTAAAGGTGAAAGACTGTTTCCCGTAAGATCAAGAACAAGGAAAGGATGCCTATTCTTACTATTTTCATTCCACGTTGTACCTGAGGTCCTCACCAGAGCAAATGCAGGCATAGCTTGTTTTATTGCACTGCATTGTATTGTGCTTCACAGATACTGCATTTTTTACAAGACCCTCCACCAGCAAAAAGATTTCAACTCACTGAAGGCTCAGATGATGGTTAGCATTTTTTAGCAATAAAGTATTTTTTAATGTATGTACATTGTTTTTTAAGACATAATGCTATTGCACACTTAATAGACTACAGTATAGTGTAAATACAACTTTTATCTGCACTCGGAAACCAAAAATTGGTGTGACTTGCTTTATTATGATATTCACTTTATTGCAGTTGTCTAGAACTGAACCCGCAATGTCTCTGAGATATGCCTATAGGCACAAAAAAGAAATAAAAGGCACACAGATCAAAAAGGAAGAAGTAAAACTGTCTTTATGCACAGATGTCATGATTTGTGGTACAAAAAAGCTACTGGAACTAATAAGTGAATTTAGCAAAATCACAGAATACAAAGTCAGTATACAAAAAGCAACTGTATTTCTATATACTAAAAATAAACTATTACATGAAATTTTAAAATATATACTATTTCCTATAGCATCCAAAAACATGAAATACGTTGAAATAAATTTAACAAGATATGTGCCAGACCCGCACACTATAAAACATTGCTGAGGAAAATTAAAGATCTAAATAAATGGAGAGATTATAACATGTTCATGGATTGGATGACCCAAAATTGTGATGTCAACTCTCCCCAAACTGAACTGTGCACTCAATGAAATCCCAGTAAAAATCCCAAAAGGCTTTTTTGTAGAAACTGATAAGCTGATTCTAAAATTTATGTGAAAATGCAAAGAATCTGGAATAGCCAAAACATTTTTGAAATAGAAGAACAGAGTTGGAGGACTCAATTACCTGATTTCAAGATTTACCATAATGCTACAGTAATCAAAACAATGTGGTGTTGGCACTAGGGTAGACAGATAGATCAATGGAACAGAATAAAGTCCAGAAATAGACATGTATGGTTAATTGATTTTCAACAGAAATGCCAAGGTAATTGAATAGAGAAAGAATAGTCTTTTCCAAAAAGGATACTAGAGGAACCGGATATTCACTTGGGGGAAAGAAATCAATCTCAACCCTTACCTAACACCATACACAAAAATTAATTCCAAATGGAATACAGATGTAAATGTAAAAGCTAAAACCACAAGACTTCTAGAAGAAAACTTAGGAGAAAACTTCCATGACCTTGGGTTATGCAAAGACTTCTTACTACACCAAAAACATGGGCCATAAAAGAAAAAGGAATTATTCGACACCATCAAATTTTTAAATTTCTGCTCTTCAAAAGATACCATTTTAAATAATGAAAGGACAAGCCATAGATAGGAGTGAAAAATCTTCGGAACACGTATATTGGACACAAAACAGGTATCCAAAATATATAAAGAACTCCTACAACTCAATAACAAGAATAACTCAAAATAACCCAATTTAAAAATGGACAAAATATTTGAATAGGTATTTTCAAAAAAAGATACACAAATAACCAATAAACACTCAACATCACTTGTCATCAAAGAAATACAAATAAAAAACACAAGAGATGTCACTATATACATCCACTAGAATGGCTAAAATTCAGAAGACTGACAATGGCAAGTGTTGACGAAGATGTAGAGCAACTGGAGTTCATACACATTGCTGGCAGAAATGCAGAATGGTGTGGGTATTTGGAAAATAGTTTTAGTTTCACATAAAGTTTAATACATGCTTACCAAATGATCCAGCAATTCCACTCCTGGGTAATTATCCAAGATAAAGTAAAACATATGTCCATGCAAAAACTTGCTCTCAAATGTTCATAGCATTTTTATTCATAATAGTCTAAAATTGGAAACTACCCAAATAATCCATCATCAGGTGTATTAGTCGGGCATGTATTACAAGGAATTGGCTTATGCAGTTATGGGAGCTGGCTAGGCAAGTCTGAAATCTGCAGCACAGGTCATCAGGAAAACAGGCTGGAAGCTCTCTGGCAGGAGTTGAAGCTGCAGTCCACAGACAGAACTTCTTCAGGGAAACCTCAGTCCTGCTCTAAACGTCTTGCAATTGATTGGATCAGTCCCACCCACATTATTGAGGGTAAGCATTACATAAAAACAACTGATTGTAGATGTTAATCACATCTATAAAAAACTTTCACAGTGTCAAGGGGAGGAAAAAACTTTTTCTCTACCCTTCTAGGTTCTTTGGCTGGCCTAATAAATTGACATAAGACAGATTAACAGGAGAAAAAATTTACTTACATACGTACAGGAGCTCATAGAAATATGAAAACTCAAAGAAGTGACCAAAGCAGGCAGCTTTTATACCTTTTAGACAAAGAAACAATAAATTTGTAAAGAACTGACAAGACAAAGAAACTAAGGTTAGGTAGTAATTAGTAAAGAAACTAAGCAGAATTTGTTTACATAGCCTTCTTGGTCCTGAATTCCCTATCTCTGGTGATAAGAATGTTTCTCTAACTCCTGGTGCAGGAAGGGTACCTTCCACGTGGGAAATTTATTTCCTGCTCTCAGGGGGACAGAGAGGAGGGTCGGAGTGACCTCGCACCAGCTGTTTCTTAAGTAACTTTAATTTAAAATAATCAACATGCTGGAGTGTCATATTTTGGGGTGGCCTGCCCTGAGCCCCATCAACAGCCACACCTACATTAGTGTTTGATTGAAAAACTGGGTTTATACCCTAGCCAAGCTGACATATAAAACTGACCAGCAGGTGACTGGATATACAAATTGTGGAATACTACTCAACAATAAACAGAAACAAACTACTGATACAAGCAACAATATGGATAAATAAATCTAACATATTTTGTTCAGCAAAAGAGGGCAGACAAAAAGACCCTGTATGATTCTACTTATATGAAATTCTAGAACAGTCAATACTAATGTATATTGTCAGAAAGCAGATAAGTGTTTGCCTAATGCCAAGTAGGCATTAAGGGCAGGAGGAAATGTGGGCAAGAAAGAAATGTGGGGGAGTGATGGAAATTATAACTTGACTGTGGTGATGGCTACACAGGTGTATACATTTGTCAAAATTCATCTAATTATACACTTTGAATAAGTGCATTTTTTGTATATAAATTATTTCTACATAAAGTTGATATTTTAAAAAGAAAAAAGCTGATTCCTACACTTTAGAAGCTCCAGTCGGGGTTCCAGAGAGATATATCCAGTTCCTCCAACACCATTTTTAGAAAAGACTGTCTTTCCCCTATTGAATTACCTTGGCACCTTTGTTGAAATCAATGAACCTTATATGTAAGTGAGAAGTTTCCTGGCTGGGAGTGAAGGATAAGAATGCAATGAGAGAAATCCCTGGTTACTTCTCACTCTCAAACAGAGGTGTCTCATGGGCAGGACAAGGGGGGATGTGACAGCTGAAAAACTTTCGTCCACTACTCCCACCCAAACAAACATTCAAGTGCATCACTGTGCCCTGTGAACTGCTGTTTGTTAAATGACTGGCCCTCTCTGTCATGAGTGACTGTAAAGTCACTCTCTGTGCCGGGTTCCTCACCAGCTGCTGCAGCTGCCTGTCCAGTCACTTTCCTCATCCCTACCCCTTCCCTGCCACAGGAGAAATCACCCTTCTGGAAACAGGGCTCTGCCTCTACTGGGGACCACAGCCCTGGGGGACGGGGCTTCCAGGCCTTGGAAAAGGCCCACACTTAGGGAGTAGGGAAAGGACACGGAGAAAGGCAATGAGCAGGAAGGAGCAATAATGCTGCCGATTCTTACTGGGCAGCAGAGCATCTCTAAGCTAGCTGGTCTCACGCAGCAGGCCTCGCAAATCCCCATCGGCCACGACAGTGGACCTCACATGTGGTCGTGGACCAGCGGCATCAAGCTCACCTGGGAACCTGTTAGAAATGCAAATTCTCTTGGCCCCACCCAGACCTTCTCCATCGGGAACTATGGAGGTGGGGCCTAGCATCGTGTGTTTCCATAAGCCCTCCAGGTGCCTCTGAGGTGCAAAGAGGAGGGACCAAGGGAAGAGTGGGGAAAGAAGGGCCTCTTCTTGAAGGCTGATTAGACACCTCCGGTTCCCCCGCCCAGGTTTCATTAACTGCCTGCCGGGGGCAGCCGGCCCTCCGGTGAGGCCGGGAGGCGGCCCGAGGGAGGGCGCCTGAGAGGGACGCGCTCGGAGGAGGGCGCTCGGCGTGACCAGCGCCCG